GAAAAAAAAAAATTAAAAAAAAAAATAAAAAAAAATAAAAAATAACTGGGGAAAAATAATTGAAGGTTTCACACTGTGAATTTACCTACCTTTCTATTTTATTTTCCTTATAAACCATCTACTCTAGCCAGACTCCTCCAGTCTACTCACTAGCCTCTGAAATCACTACACACATTTCTATGTCACTGCCTTTGTTCAATCTGTATCCTTTTCTTGGCATTATTTATCTGTCTAATCTAATTAAGTATTTGGGTTTTTTCCTTTCTTTCAAGAACCATTTCAGCAAAGCATTACCTGGTCCAAGTGCTAAGATTAGTACTTCTTTGCATTTCATTTAGTATTGGAAATTGTCTAACAATTCAGTACCTGCAACGTACCTCATTTAGGATGCCTTTGGCTGTAAGCAGTAGAAACTTAACTGAAAGTCACTTAAACAGTAAGTTATCTCCCATTACAGAACATCCAAGTTTGGTTGATTGAAAATGTCTATTAGTCATCAAGTACCCTGGTCCTTTCTGTGTCTTAGTTCTTCCATTTATAGTGCTGTTTCATGATAAAGCTTATTTCTGTCCTGATTATAAGACTGTCAGAGAAAAGTAGGACTACTTGCTTCCTTTAATAACACTCAGCAGGAGAGGGAGGATAAAACTATTTGCCCAATTATGGAGTTTAACTCCTTCCTTTATAATATAATTGGGCCAACTTTGATCGGTGTCCATCCCAAATCAATAACAGGTTTTAGGGGAATTGACTTAATCCAATCAGGATCCACCCCTTGAGTTAGCTAGAGAGGGTAGCTTCCTCTGAAGACCTGAGAAAGAGATACCTAAACAAGATTAGGGTTTGGTTAGGGAAAAAAAAGTTTGGGAAGGGGGAGATGCTGACGGGCGTTGACATAATTGTGAAACTGTGGCAGTATAGTGATAAACCTAAGTACCAGATGTGATAGAAACACTGAGGAAGGAGTGATAGCCTAAACTTGCCCGAATTAGGAAGCACTCTTTGGAGGAAGTAAAACCTGGGTTAAATCTTTAGAATGAGAGGCAGTGAACCAGTGGAAAGAGTGAGGAGCAAGGAGAAAGACATTCCAGGCAGAAGGAACAAAATTAACAGAGGCAAAATTAACAGAGAAGAGAAGCAGCATGGTATGTGTGTAAAGCTGCAAGCATTTTGGTGTTGGCCAGACTTTAAAGTGCTGTGGGATGGCAATGAAAGGCAGGAGAAGTAGGTGGAAGCTGGATTACAGAGGGCATGTGGTATACTAACCACGAAGAATGTTCGTGTTAACATATTAATGACTGATCTGGTCAGACTGGCATTTTAAATATTCGAGGGACAGCTTTAAGGGAGTCAAGACTAGAGGATCATAGTCCGGGTGAGAAATTGTGAGATCCGAGACTGAGGAAGTGTTTTGAAAATGTTTAATAACATCCAGGGTCTGGAGTCAGGCTTTGTAGGTTTAAATCCTGGCTCTACCACTTAATATCCTGGTGATCTAAAGCAAGTTACCTTATTATGAACCTCAATTTCCTCATCTGTGAAACAGAAATAATACCCACTTTGTAGTGTTGAGAGGATTGAATGAAATAAGCCTTTTAGATTAGAACCTGGCACAAATCCTTAAGAAATGTTAACTTTAAAAAATTATTGTAGGACTGATGTAGAGGAATGGAGGAAGGGAATAAATTAGACCCAGTTCCAGCTTTCAATAAGTTTATATATTTTTCCTGAAAAGACAATTAAAAAAATTATTTTGTTGGGGTGCCTAGGTGGCTCGGTCGGTTGAGCGTCCGACTTCGGCTCAGGTCATGATCTCACGGTCTGTGGGTTCGAGCCCCGCGTCGGGCTCTGTGCTGACTGCTCAGAGCCTGGAGCCTGTTTCAGATTCTGTGTCTCCCTCTCTCTGTGACCCTCCCCTGTTCATGTTCTGTCTCTCTCTGTCTCAAAAATAAATTAAAAAAAGTTAAAAAAATTTTTTTAAATAAAAAAAAATTATTTTGTTATAATATCAAGCCTATAGAAATGTTTCAGGAATATTCCAAAGAATAACATTTCTCTCTTTCTCAGATATAAACGTATATATGGTGCATGCATATATGTATGTATGTACATATTTTTTTTGAATGGTGTAAGTTGCAGACATGATCATCTAAATATTTCAGTGTATGTTTCTTAAAAATTTTTTTTAAAAAATTTTATTTATTTTGAGAGACAGAGAGGGAGAGAGAGAATCCAAGCAGGCTCCAGTGCTGTCTGTGCAGAGCCTGATGTGGGTCTGGATCTCACAAACTGTGAGATCATGACCTAAGCCGAAATCAAGAGTTGGACACTTAACTGACTGAGCCACCCAGGCGCCCCTCGGTGTATATTTCTTAAAACCACGATATTCTCTTATGTAATCACAGAATAGTGATCAAAACCAGGAAATTAATATTAACATTGATACATTGATACAGTAGTATAATCTATAGATTTTATTCCTATTTTATCATTTGTCCCAACAGTGTCCTTTATAGCAGAAGAAAATCTACGTTCATGCATTACATTCAGTTGTCCTATCCTTATAGTCTTCTTTATTTTTTAATTTTTAACATTTTCTCAAAAAATTTTTTTAATGTTTATCTGTTTTTGAGAGAGAGAGAGAGAGAGAGAGCACGGATGCTGGGGAGGGGCCAAGAGAGAGGGAGACACAGAATCTGAAGCAGGCTCCAGGCTTCATTTATTTAGGGGCTCCTGGTGGCTTAGCTGGTTGAGCGTCTGACTTCAGTTCAGGTCATGATCTTGTGGTTTGTGAGTTCAAGCCTCACACCAGGCATGCTGCTGTCAGCCTATCAGTGCAGAGTCCACTTTGGATCCTCTGTCCCCCCTCTCTGTCCCTCCCCTCTTGCGCTCTCCCAAAATAAATATATCTAAAAAAAAGTCAGATGCTTAACTGACTGAGCCACCCACGTGCCCTCCTTTAGTCTCTTTTAAACTGGAATTATCCTGAGCTGTCTTTTGTGTTTTATGACATTGCTACTTTTAGAGTACAGCCAATTATTTTGTACAAAGTCCTCAATTTGGATTTGACTATCACAATTAGACTCAGGTAATAAACTTCTGGCATGAAATACCATAGACGTGTGGTAGTGTTCTTAATGCATTGTATCAGGAGGCACATGATGTCTATTTGTCCCATTGCTGTGATGTTAACATTTGGTGAAGGTGGTGTTTGTCTGTACTTTCCTCCAAATCAGCGTTGGTTCTTTTCCTCTGCATTAAAGGAGTCTTTTCTTTTGTGCCCATTCGGAAGGGTACCACATGACAGTGTGTCATAATTTTTGAAAATAAAAAGGAGTTTTGTAGTGTTTTGTCCTGGACATAAATTTTTTTCTGTAAGTTTGAGGTTGTTTTAAATATGAAGCACTGAAAAATTACTTTCATAAGTTATGTACATGCATTTGTCTTGAGTGCCATTGATGTGGGTAATATTACTTTCTTTGAACATACCTATTAACAGGAGAAGATGGTTACTTTTACTTTGGATGACTTACTTTATGATTTTTAGTTTTATGTTGATGTGACAGGGCCTGCACCCTAGAATAATAGCTGAAGGATTTGAAGCTGCGAAGATAAAAGCACTTGAAGTTCTGGAAAAGGTTAAAATTAACAAAGAGATGAAAAGAGAAGTCCTCTTAGATGTGGCTAGAACATCTCTACAAACTAAAGTTCCTGCTGAATTGGCTGATGTGTTAACAGAGGTTTGTGATTAAACTTTTGCATTCAGAACAAATATAGACTAATGCATGATGATATTTTTATTTTTCCTATAAGAATCAACTATCGTATGTGGTTCTTTTGAACATGAAATAAAATACAGAAGGCAAACATTTATTCACTTAGTTATAGTCTATACTTGATTGGTCAGAACAGTATGTGTAATTTTTCAAAAGTGTCATATTAAACCTTCTTTTAAGTTAACATGAAAGTTAATGAAAGGGGCCTGGCTGCCTTCTTAAACCTTCTTTTTTTTTATTTTTTTAATTTTTTTTTATTTATTTTTTCAACGTTTATTTATTTTTGGGACCGAGAGAGACAGAGCATGAACGGCGGAGGGGCAGAGAGAGAGGGAGACACAGAATCGGAAACAGGCTCCAGGCTCTGAGCCATCAGCCCAGAGCCTGACGCAGGGCTCGAACTCACGGACCGCGAGATTGTGACCTGGCTGAAGTCGGACGCTCAACCGACTGCGCCACCCAGGCGCCCCTTAAACCTTCTTTTTATTTTTATATTAAATATAATTTATTGTCAAATTGGTTTCCATACAACACCCAGTGCTCATCCCAACAGGTGCCCTCCTCAATGCCCATCATCCACTTTCCCCTCTCCCCCATCCCCCATCAACCCTCAGTTTGTTCTCAGTATTTAAGAGCTTCTTATATTAAACTTTCTTTTAAGTTAACATGAAGGGAGCTTGGCTGCCTGTGGATCAACCCTTGTGGATGTCATTGGGGTGAGGTGCTGGTCTCTTAAAACCTAGAGGTCAATATTTATTATGTGAGGTGACACATAGGTTGTTAAGGTTACCACTTTAATGAAGCGTGATTGATCTGACAGATAATCTTCACATCTGGGAAATGCGTATTTGTTTTGTTTACTTCTAAAGGTAAAATGTATGTAATTTAAGGAGTAGATTGGGTATTTTGGGAAGGCTTTTATCAGGTGGCTATAGTTTGATATCATCATTGTTCCTCAGCTTTGTATTTTCTGCAACTTGAATATATTGGTTTATCAGGAATGATGAATTCATAACCAAAATCACAAAGCATTGATATATAAATCAGAATGCTGTCTTGCTAATTTACTCTGAGAAATATAAATGACAAATGGACTAGAACACCTGATTTGTTTCTGGTCAATTCCGCTTACCAATAGGAAAACCTACTTTGCAAATCAGATTAAGATCAGACAATTTCTTGCTCAGCAGAGTTCAAATAAAGACTACAGTATTTTCTCCTGTTGGAGTACTTATATCAAGTGATCCAGAATCTTCATGTTATCTGGTTAGTGCGCCCATTCTCTTTTGGAGTTGTAGAAACACTGATACTCTCATTATCCTGTGGTCTTTGTCATTATTCCCTGTTAGGTTCCAAAACCAAGTATCATGTTATCTCAGGTAAACTAAGGTATAGTTTTTTGCTTTATTTATATTTTAGGGTGGTTATATTGTAATACTTAATTTATGTAATTTCATATTACTTTCTTTAAAAAACATTTTTTTTTTAGCATTTATTTAGTTTTGAGAGACAGAGCATGAATGGGGGAGGGGCAGAGAGAGAGAGGGACATACAGAATCCAAAGCAGGCTTCAGGCTCTGAGCTGTCAGCACAGAGCCCGATGCAGGGCTGGAACCCACGAACCGTGTGATCATGACCTGAGCTGAAGTCGGACATTTAACCGACTGAACCACCCAAGCTTTCTGAGCTAAGCAATAGGATATATTATTGTACCATGCTATATATCCCTGGGGCTATGTGGCAGAATAAATAGCACATGTCTTTCTGGAGTATCAATTTCACGCTGCAATTTTGGGGAAAAGCATTACTTTCACATTAAAACAAATGTATATCATGGCATGACGTAGAAGCTTTTCATGATAAAACACAAAATTTAAGACACTTCGTGTTAGTGTAACCAGAAAATTTTAGCTTTTACCTCAGATTACATTTCCTTCTTTTCCATTAAATATGTCTTTTGGTGGAAAAGTTTGAGTAGTGTTGGTAGTAGAGCAGTGGCTTGGCAGTTAAAGAAAACGGAATTCTAGGCCTGGCTCTGCTTTTAGACCTTGTGTTAAGTCTGTAAATTCTTAAAAGTTTCAGAGTTTACTTTACTTAACTGTAAAATGAAGGCTTTGGGCCTGATGATCTCTGAAGTTCCTTCAGGGTCTAAAGTACCCACTGGCATTGATTATTACTAATGTCCATGACAGAGTGGCCTTTGTGGCCTTGCCCTATATTTTGGGGCCTGAAGCCCTTTATCTGTTTAGTCTGATGATTACTTGGGCCAGTGATTTCTTTTAATAGACCAGTAATTTACTGTTCTCATTCACTTCTCTTTCAGGCTGTGGTGGATTCTGTTTTGGCTATTAGAAGACCGGGTTATCCTATTGATCTCTTCATGATAGAAATCATGGAGATGAAGCATAAATCAGAAACAGATACAAAGTAAATTACATACACTTTTTTTTTTAAGGTTTTATTTTTAAGTAATCTCTACACCAACATGGGGCTTGAACTTACAACCCCAAGATCAAAGTTGTATGCTCCTGTGACTGAGCCAGCCAGGTGCCCCTAAATTACATAAACTTTGACAATACATGGATTCTAGAATATTTGGTGTAGTTCAGATACTTTTTTTTCATTAATATCATTAGTTACTTTAATTCAATATCAGTCTATTTTTAAAATTTTTTTTTTCAACGTTTTTATTTATTTTTGGGACAGAGAGAGACAGAGCATGAACGGGGGAGGGACAGAGAGAGAGGGAGACACAGAATCGGAAACAGGCTCCAGGCTCTGAGCCATCAGCCCAGAGCCCGACGCGGGGCTCGAACTCACAGACCGCGAGATCGTGACCTGGCTGAAGTCGGACGCTTAACCGACTGCGCCACCCAGGCGCCCCTCAGTCTATTTTTTAAAAAATGTTTATTTTTGAGAGAGAGCACAGGCGGGGGAGGAGCGGAGAGGGAGGGGAACAGAGGATCCGAAGCGGGCTCTGCACTGACAACAGTGAGCCCAATGTGGGGCTTGAACTCATGAACCATGAGATCATGACTTGAGCCGACGTTGGACACTCGACTGACTGAGCCACTCAGGCGCCCCTCAACATCAGTCTGTTAATTCAACATATATTAAGTGAATACTTACCCTGAGGCAGTCATTGTTTTGGGTGCTAGGAATGAAGAGTAATACAAAACAGAATTTCTTTCTCTAAGAAGATTATGTTTTTAGTTGTGGGAGATAATAAATACATAAGTGATAATAAATGCTGGGAAGAAACTAGAGTGACTGAGAGCATGTGTGTGATTTTGGAGTGCTCAGGGAAGATCCTTGTGATTGGAAACTAAACTCAAGAGCTAAGGAGGTGTCTGAAGAAATAAGGGAGTTAGCCATGTGTATATTTGGATGAAGAGTTCTAAGTCAAAGGAATGACGGTTGAAAAGGCCCAAAGGCACCAGTGTGCTGGGGTGTCCCAGTGTGCCTGGAGCACAGTAAGTAAGAGGAAAAAAGAGTAGGATTTGAAGTTGGAGAGGAAAGACAGGTCAGACAATTGACATGGTCTGGGTAAGTATGTACTCAGAATATGTAGCATGTTGTTGATTTTGGACTTAATGAATTTTAAACTTTCTTTTATGGAAAATTCTAAACATATATAAAAGCAGAAAGAATAGAATAGTGAACTCTCACATACCTGTCACTCATGTTTATCAATTTTCAATCTGTGGCCCATTTTATTTTTCCTTTTATTTCCCCTTATAAACTCCTCTTTCTCTTCCTCATCCCAAACCTGGATTATTTTGAAGCCAATCCAAATGTCATATTTCATTTGAAAATACTTTATTTTAATATATGTGTGTGTTTGTGGATCTCTTTATTTACTTATTTCTTGAAGTTTTATTTGGTTTTTCTTAGATTGGCCATTGCACTTTTTATGGTGTCTTATTCCCTGCAGATCTTTCCAAGCCTGCCTTTTATTATTAAAAATTTTTTTTAAAATGTTTATTTATTTTTGAGAGAGAGAAAGTGTACGAGCAGGGGAGGGGCAGAGAAAGAGGGAGACACAGAATCTGAAGCAGGCTCCAGGCTCTGAGCGGTCAGCACAGAGCCCAGCGTTGGGCTCGAACGCACAAACTGTGAGATCATGCCCTGAGCCAAAGTTGGACACTTAACTGACTGAGCCACCCAGGCGCCCCTGTGTTTTGTTTCTATATGTGCCATTCATCATGTTTGAAAAAGGTATTTGTAGAAATTATTTGACACCTAGGATGAAGGTGCATTTCTGCACAGAGGATTTGAATTTGCTGTTGCAAGGAGCCTGGGGAATACTTTAAATTAAATCCACAGCTTGAGGGTTCTGTTTTTGTTTGTTTTTAATATCTAGTTGTGTTTAAAAAAATTTTTTTAATATTTATTTTTGAGAGAGGCAGACTGCAAGCAGGGGGAGGGGCAGAGAGAGAAGAAGACACAGAATCAGAAGCAGTCTCCAGGCTCTGAGCGTCTCCAGGCTCTGTCAGCACAGAGCCCGATGCAGGTCTTGAACCCATGAACTGTGAGATCATGACCTAAGCCGAAGTCAGTCACTTAACCGACTGAGCCACCCAGGCGCCCCTAGTTTTGTTTTTTTAAATGTTTGTTTATTGAGAGAGAGAGAGAGAGAGAGGAAGCGTATGATCAGGCAAGGGGCAGAGAGGGGGAGAGAGAGAATCTGAAGCAGGCTCCTCGCTGTCAGCACAGAGCCCCACACAGGGCTTGATCTCATGAACCATGAGATCATGACCTGAGCCAAAACCAAGAGTCAGACGCTTAACTGAGTGAGCCACCCAGGCATCCCAAATATCCAGTTGGTAGTTCTAACTACTGATTCATATGAGGACTGCTTGCTTCTAGTTCATCCTTCTGGTTTATGCCCTGAGTATGTAGCCCTTTGGTGTTCCTACTTAAAGTGAAGAGTGTCTCCTATTAGACCCTCTACCTTCGATGAGCCCTGAGCTTTTCATTCTGTCCCCCTCTCATAGTGAGGTTGTTGAAACCCAAGTTCAGATTGATCTGAATTGTCAAGTGACTTTAGGATAAGAGTACTTGCAGTTCTTTCCTTATCCTTTGGAGTTCATGTTTTCTTTACTATTTTAAAGCTCTCCAGTGTTTTTAAGCGTTTAATTTTTTTAATGTTTATTTATTTTTGAGAAACAGAGACAGAATGTGAGTGGGGGAGAGGCAGAGAGAGCGGGAAACACAGAATCTGAAGCAGACTCCAGGCTCTGAGCTGTCAGCACAGAGCCCGACGCAGAGCTCAAACCCACGAACCTGAGCCAAAGTTGGACGCCTAACCAACTGAGCCACCCAGGTGCTCCTAAGGTTTTTGTTTTTAACCCAGCATTTTGCTTTTGGTAGTAGGGTTGGTCCAAATTAGTCTACTATTGCTGAGGACAATAGCAGTTCTGATTTATATTTCAGAAGTATCTCTGTGGTTATTGTGGGCAGAATGCACTGTGAAGCAGGGCATTTCCCAGGACAAGGGCAGAAGTGGAGCCCAGTCAGGAATCTGTTGTAATACGGGTGAGGGGTGAAAACACTTTAGATCAGGGTATACTTAGAAGGAGCAGTAGGATCTGTTGATGGTTTGACATAGAATGTGACAGAAATAGTGTCAAGGATGTCTCTTGGGACTTTGCATGGAGCATCTGAAGAAGGGGAAATGCCATTTCTTGGGATGGAAAAGACTCGGGGGAACAGATTTGGGGAAATAAATCAAGAGCGCAGTTTGGGAAATGTTATGTTTTAAGATGCCTGTTAGGCATCCATGTGTGAGTAGGGAGTTGGAGAGGTGTGTCTGCAGTTCAGAATAGAGGTCTGATCTAGAAAAATATTTGGGAGTCATCTGTGTATAGATGACTTAAAGCTTATGAGAGGTAGTGAGATCAGCTGAGAAGTGAATATAGATAGAAGTTTAAAGTTGGTCGCTGGAAATTCAAATGTTTAGAAATTGAGAAGACAAGGAGTGCCTGGGTGGCTCAGTCGCTTAAGTGTCCAACTCTTGATTAAGGCTCAGGTCATGATCTCGTGGTCTGTGAGTTTGAGCCCCATGTCAGGCTCTGTGCTGACAGCATAGAGCCTGCTTCGGGTTCTCTCTCTCTCCCCCCCTCTCTCTGCCCCTTCCCTGCTCACACACACTCTCTCTGTCAAAATAAATAAGCTTAAAAAAAAAAAAAAGAAATTGAGAAGATGAGAAGGATTCAGCACCAGAAGGGATGGTCACTGAGATAGGAGGAAAGCCAAGAGAAAGTATTGTCCCAGAAGCTAAGAGAGGAAAATGTTTCAAGGGGAGAATAATCAAGTATGTCATATGCTGCTGAAACTTAGAGCAAGTTGTTGTGGATTGAAAATTGACCATTAGATATGGAAGGCATTTAATGTTTTTGGTGACTTGGATGGGAACTGATTCAATAAAGGAGTAGGTGTGAAAGTTGGATTGAAGTGGGCTTGAGAGAGAGAAGTGGTTAAGGAAGAAGTGAGGGTGCAAGCATACACAGCTCCAAGGAGGTTAGCAGAGAAACGGGCAGTAGCTAGAAGGGAGGATGGGAAGGGACTTGAAGGAGAAGCATTCTTTGTTTTAAAGATGAGAATTTTCATGGCAAGTCTGTGTCCTGACGAGAATGCCCCTGGAGGCAGGAGGAACTGACATGGGGGAAGAGGGGATGATGCCGGAGCAGAGACCAGAAAGGGAATAGAGTACACACATGCAGGGGTTAACTTGAGAGAAGAGCATGGACAGTTCGCTCATAGGAACAGGAGGTTCAGGGTCAAGCGCAGGTGGACTGGTAGAGGTAGTGATGGGACAGTGTATTTTCTCAAAGCACAAGGTCACTTGCTGAGAATGAGAGAGGGGGGAAGAGTAAAGAGACCTGGAGAGTGACAAGTGTTGAACATAGTTTGCTTGTTTTCTTCCTAAAGAAAAGCTCTGCACTTTCAGCTGGTAGTTGGATAATTAGATTAAAATGTTGTAGTCAGGGGCGCCTGGGTGGCGCAGTCGGTTAAGCGTCCGACTTCAGCCAGGTCACGATCTCGCGGTCCGTGAGTTCGAGCCCCGCGTCGGGCTCTGGGCTGATGGCTCGGAGCCTGGAGCCTGTTTCCGATTCTGTGTCTCCCTCTCTCTCTGCCCCTCCCCCGTTCATGCTCTGTCTCTCTCTGTCCCAAAAATAAATAAACGTTGAAAAAAAAAAAATTAAAAAAAAAATGTTGTAGTCAGATTAAAATTAGTAGTTAAATTAAAAGTTTGAAAACTTCCTTATAATTGTGTTTAACTATTTTAACAGTTATTTCTTTTATGTTTATGTATAACAAATATTGGTTATAAAAGATTTGTAAATAGAAATACCACTCCCTAATTGGGTATAAATGAAGTTTTAAAAGTTATAAAAATATTTACTCTTGAAAGAAAATTTCAACGATAGGAAAAAAGCGTCTCCCACTCCTGAATTATCTGTATTCCTACCACCCAAGCATAACTCTACTCTTAATTTCTTTTCATTTTTTCTTGTCAGTACCGAGGTGCTTATTTTCTGAAAGAGTAGTTATAATCATGCTTTATAGGTAGTTTGCTATTCTGTGTTTGTTTATCAGCTACCACTGTAAATATTTTTCCATGTCATTACATAGTTTTCACGACCACGAAATAGTTGGGTCATTTATTTGCTGAACAATGCCTTATTATTGGACATTTAGGTTAACAATGTTTGGTGGTTCCATATAATTATTTTGAACAAATGTTCCTAAGAAACTCACTGTGTGCCTACCTTTCAATACTTGACCAGCTGTGTCATATGTGTGAGCCACATAATTTAGAGAATAATTCTGGGTTGACTTTTCATTGTGACTTCCCAGTCACACTGTGTTAAAATGAATTTTCTTTTCTAATTTTGCTAATTATGTGTTAGGCTTAAAGTTGGTGCAAGGAAACAATGTGTGCCCCAGTAGTTCTGTTACAATTTTAAGAATACAATCCTTATTTTATAACAAATTTTAGAATGTATATTCAGAGGAAGAAACATTACATATTTTTAATAGGTTGATCAGAGGATTAGTTCTGGATCATGGTGCCCGTCATCCAGATATGAAGAAACGAGTAGAAGATGCGTTTATCCTTTCTTGCAATGTATCACTAGAATATGAAAAAACGTACGTGTCAGTTACTCTTTGTGAATTTTGAAATTGTATTTTCTTTTTAAATTTTCTTTTAACATTTATTTATTTGAGAGAGAGAGACACACAACAGAGCGTGAGCAGGGGAGGGGCAGAGAGAGAGGGAGACACAGAATCCAAAGCAGGCTCTGTGCTGTCAGCACAGAGACCAACACAGGGCTCGAGCTCCCAAGCTGTGAGATCATGACCTGAGCTGAAGTCAGACACTCAACCGACTGAGCCACCTAGGCACTCCTGAAATTGTATTTTCTAAAAGTGTTTTTTTAATCTCTTGCTTCCCTGCCAGATGTTTAGTGTAAACGCCTTCTGCCTTTTCCTCCTCTCTCTTCTACCTTTACTAGCTTATTTTTATTAATCTTTTAGAGAGGTGAGCTCTGGTTTCTTTTATAAGTCTGCTGAAGAGAAAGAGAAACTGGTAAAAGCTGAAAGAAAATTTATTGAAGATCGAGTACAAAAAATAATAGACCTGAAAGACAAAGTCTGTGCTCAGTCCAGTAAAGGATTTGTTGTCATTAATCAAAAGGTGAGAAAGAAAATTTTGATTTTAACTATGTGTAAATGTTTTTCACCATTTCTCAGAGTGTGGTCTGTGGATTCCCGGGAGTCCATAAGACCATTTCAGGGAGTCTATGAGGTCAAAATTATTTTCATGATAATAATAGTAATAATAATGCCTTTTACGTTGTGCTGACATTTGCAATGATCACGCAAAGTCAACGTTAGGTAAAACTACTGGTGCATTAGTACAAATCAAAGGAGTAGCACCAAACTGTACTAATAGTCATTATATTCTTTTTCCCATTTTACCGTACACTTGCAGTTAAAAAAAAAAAGTTTCATTTGAGAATATCTTGATGAAGTGGTAAAACTTATTAATTTTATTGAAGTTTGATCCTTACATAGGCATCCTTTTATAATTCTGTGTGATGGAGTGTGAAATCTGCACATCAGAATATGGTTATCTTGAAGGAAAACTCTTGTATAATTGAGTTGCAAGCTGACCTAGCCACTTTTTTCATGGAATGCCATTTCTACTTTAAAGAATAACTGACAGGGGCAGCTGGTTGGCTCAGTGGGTAGAACAAGTGACTATTGACCTCAGGGTTGTGAGTTCAAGGCATACGTTGGGCAGACAGATTACTTAAAAAAAAAAGTAACTGACAAACTGTGGTTATTTAGATGTGGGTATTTGGCAGGTTTTTCTCAAAAAAGAAGAAGTGGTTCTGTCACTTCAAGGAAAACAGTTGACAGTATTTGTTGCCAATAAATTTGAGCTTTCAAACAAAAATTAAAATTTTGGAAAACGTGTATCTGCCATTGTGAATGTCACAGCTCTCCAATACTTAAAGGACTTTTCTGATAATGTTAATGGTGATATTAGCAAATGTGATATTTCTGATATTGTAGAACTATGAAATGTATCAGCATTTGGAAGCTCTGCTTAACATAGTGAACCAATGTTTTCTTCTTTTTTTCTTTTCAGATTTTTATTTAAATTCTAGTTAGGTAACATACAGTGCAGTATTAGTTTCAGGAATAGAATTCAGTGATTCATCACTTACATACAACACCCAGTACTTATCACAAGTCCC